TAATACTTACTACCATACTTCCAATTTTTCAGTATAGAACACCCATAACATTTCATACGAAACTTTTTTATGTGCAATCATTACTTCACGAGCCTTTATCGTTTGTTTAAATTCTTGTTCAAGAAATCGAACCAGACGTTTCAGGTGGATACTACTCTCCAGATCGGTCATGTTATCTAATATACGTATATGACTAAATATCAATTTATTTTATTTAATACAATTATAACAAGATCAAAATGCTTACCAACAGCATCTTTCAGTTTCTCCATTACAAGAAATAAATCTTGAGCCTTTAACGCTACTTTTGGTTTATCATCGTCAATATCGTCAAATGGCTTCTTATTCGGAAGTATATCTCTCAAAATTTCTATCAATTTTGGAGAACTCACTTCAACGTACGATTTATCACCACGCGGATATATGACCACGAAGGGATTGATATTGATACTTTCAACCTTTACCCTGCGTTCCATTTTGCCATAATAATTATCATACCATTCATCAAAGCATGGCCACTTCCAGTCATCTTTGTCAACGATCAAAGCTGAAGTGGAAGTATCTTCTGCTTTTTCAATAATAACATTGTTTTCCATCTTTTCAAATAATCTTAAGGTAATGATATGATTAAGATCTTGAGAGCAAAATAAGTAAGGTTAAAAAGAATGAACGAAATGGGTGCTTTTATAAAAAAGACCATGGCAAAAATGCTCCGGTGGCTGCTAGGAATAAGCACTGCGCAAGCTGTTACGGGTTTTTTAATAACGCCCATAAATATCATAAATAATGAAATATCATAAATAATAAATATAGTAATAGGATAAATTATCCGATAAACCCCTAAATTTTTATAAATGCGAATAATTTCATTAATTTTTGGATGCGATAAGCATTCTAATCGGAGTAAGAAATCCATAAATTATTTTTTATGCTTAAAACCGCTTTAGCCGATTTCTAAATAGGGAATGCGCAGCTTGCGCATGAATTTTGAAAATTTACCCGTTTACCATTTCTATAATAATAAAACAAGCTATCGCTATTTGTACGAATTGACTTTCATCAAAATAGGTATACTGTATGCGCGATAATTTCAGATATTGTTACCGTTGCGTAATTACTTTACAAAATTATGAGTTATACCATTAAGATGATTCATAAAAGAAAAACAATCAGGATTTAGTACTACTTATGCACTTTTTTTTAACAAAAACAATACATTTTTTTCCGAACATTATGTAAAGTTATGTCTGTTCATTGTAGTAAAATTTCTGATTTGCTTAATTAACATAATTAGCATCTTGTAAAATCACGTCGTGGCTTCAACTACGAATCAGATTCCGTTTTTTCCCAAATCGCTTATTTCTCAAAAATCAATATAAAAAACTACCTTTAGCGCACTAACAAAAGGTGTTACATTGCGCGATTTACTGTATAACCTGCTCCTAACATCAACGAACTTTAATGATTTTGCTGCGCCACAAACCTGGCACATATGAGTGCATGAGAGTGAAAACCTGGAAACCGATCATAGTAAATAATTAAATCGGTTTCCAGGTTTTCACTCTCACGCACTCATATTCGTTTTAATATATCATGACGTAATTGCCGTCATTAAAGTTCTCTGGGCTATTGCTTTGGACATTCATTGAGCTTTCAAGTTCTGTGAGGTGTTTGAAATCAATTTTTTTTCTTTCACGATTGAACTTGCTTTCCGGGTTCTCTCGCTACCAGCTTTTCTGCTGCTGCTGATTGTTGTTGGTCCGATTTTGGATTTGTCCATAATAAATAATAATAAATATCGGTTGAATAATGATCGAGCAAAAAATTGTGACTATTTATCAAAATTCGAGAAATTAAATACAATGGTTGGTTTGATGACGACAATTAGCTTGGGGATGAAAATTATTTTATTCCAATTTACTGCTTCTAATCTTCAAGTTTATTTCTAAGAATTGTTTACGTAATATTTTGTAAGATAAATTATATAAATGAATTGTAGTCCTTAGACATAACATGGTACTGAATTAGAAAGAATGCATGACTGATAGGTAAATTAAGCATTTAAAATGTAATAAATTAACGTCAATAAGAAAGCTTTGTTTTAATCTGTCAAAATACATCCAACAGAGTGCCCTAATTTCCCCAGTTAGACTACGTCACTCTTCTATCATTAATTATAGGATCAGGTGTAATATAAATTTTCAAAAAAAATCAGGTTTTGAAAAATCGCTCGTGTTCTATAAAAAAAAATTCCTTGCCAAATTTTAGTATAGTATAAATTCATTCTATTGGATCTTTATATTGTTTCAACGATACTTTGTTATTTGATCGAATTAAAATTTCTAAGTCAATTTCGTACCAATTAAAAGCAGAATTTCTCTTCGTTCAACAAGAACAGGTGGTAAAAATTAGTTAATTCCTCAAATCTTAAAAAGAATACATTTTTTGTTGAAACTTGTATATACATATTTTATAGCTGATTTGTAATCATAATAGAGACAAGCGACATAGTTTATCTGTATTTAATAATTCTTAAATTACTTAATAATATGTAATAATTTATCAAATATGTAAGTTAAATTTTAGTTATTGCTTACATAATTAGATTGCCTATTCCTACTAGCATTGCCCAAAAAGTCAGTTACATACTGGAATTTAAAATTAAATATCAGTATTTAATAACTCAAATAGTAGTGTTTGTAATAAATTTTGCTTTAGTCAATTAAATCCTTAGTTGATTTTTTAAAAATTGATTTAGTTAACTTTATATAAAAATTTAAGGTAATTTATAATTTGATCTGAAATTTGATAAAAAGAAAATCAACAAATATAAAATAGAAACAAGATTGAGATAAAATTTGAGAAATCTTAAAAACTTCTAAATTTTAACTTAATACATTCAGAATAATTAATTTTAACATAACTAGCTAAGTTTATTTTTAAATATCAACTTAGCCAAGTTAATTAATAATAATTAACTACAAACACTAGTTAATTTGAAATCTGTTTGAATTAGTTTTAAGATTTTCAAAATAAATATAAAGATCAATAAAGGTAAAACAAATATTAGAAGTTTTTGATATAGATAATAAAGAAGAAAGATGAAAAAGATTATTAGATAGATTATAGAAGATATTGAAAAAGTCTGAAAGTAAATAAGAAGTTTAATATTAAGAATATAATTTAACAGGTAAGTTATAGTATTGATAATAATATGATTTTAAAAGAAACATAATTTGTAAGAGATTATATTTTAGATTTTTATAGACATGTGTTTTAATAAATATAGTATTAATAAAAATTTTAAAAGGTTTGTTAAAAAAATTATTTTTTAAATATTAACAAAAGATTAGAAATGTTTGTTTAAGTAGTAAGATTAGAAATTAAATTTAATTAAAAAAATATTATAACAAAAAAAGTTTTTGAGCTAAAAGAAAAATTAAAATCCAAGAACAAATAATAAGTTTCTATAAATTTGCTTACTGTTTCAAGTTTAGCTTATATAATTACAAAGGATATTGTAATCTTTTTTATATATTGAATCTAACTGTTATTAACTTAGTTTTCTGTATAGTTATTTTAAATATTTAAAATAATTGTTTTAAATATTTAAGATAATTTTTTTAAATATTTAAAATAACAACTTTAAATATTTAAAATAATTATTTCAGATATTTAAAATAACAGTTTTAAATATATAAAGTAATCACTTTAAATTAACTTATTAATATATTTAAAGTAACTATTTTAGAGTATAATAACTTAGTAAGTAAATAAGTTGTTATCTTCCAAATAATAGATTAGAAGTTCAAAACCTATTAATAATAAAAATTTGAATAATCATCTATGTTATAAAAATTGTTTTCTGTTAATCAATTGGAATAAGATACCTGTAACTATAATAATACTAATATGATTAACAGATTATAAGTTATCTGTATAAACTTGCTTATATAGAAAAATACAACCAGTATTAGGTAATACAAATTTAATAATTTTTGTGATTGTATAAATTTATAAAATTAAAAAAACAGAAACTTATTTAGAAAAACCTGAATAGAAATGTAACATAAATCTTTAATAATACTATTATAAAATTTAAATCTAGAAAACAAATACTAATATAAAGAATTCAAATAAACAAAATCTTTAGATAAGAAATATTTTAAACCAAACTGTTTTAAAATTCTGATTAAAAAAAAGATATTGAATCAAACATGATATATACTATCTTACAATTCTATCAAAAATTTAAATTAAAAGTTTATAAATAAAGTAGAAGTATACTAAACTACCGTATTCTACCGTAAATAAGCACCACTCCCTCTACCCCATTTTTTTAAATGCCAGATTAGCAGAAATAACTTGGCTAAAGATCTCATTGCAATGTCCATTAATCTGACATTTAAAAAAATGGGGTAGAGGGTGTGGTGCTTATTTACGGTAGAATATGGTACTAGAAATATATTATAAAATTGATATTAGAATCTAAATAAACTCTATAGTTATAGCACTGTTAATATCTATAAAATAGATAAGTTAGTTAGCAGAAAGGTGCCTAGAACCTTACAGTCAAATAAGGTACTCTGAAACAAGTAATAACTTAATAGATATATATTTTATAAAAATTAAAGTATTTAAATAAGTAATCTTTTGGGGATATGATAACTTAGTAAAGTGGATAAGTTGTCAATCTTTCAAGTGATAGGTAGTGAGTTCAAAACCTACTAATAATAAAAATTTAAATAATTACCTATATAATATATAGATAATATTATGGCAACAGCATTTTGTTGATCAGTCAGGATAAGATATCTGTAATATAGTTGCACTAGCATAATTGGCAGATCATGGGGCATCTACACAATGTTGAAGTTATACAAAGAAATGCAAACTAATACGTATTAGGTAATGCAACCTAAGATAAGTTCTCATAGTCATATAAATCTGTAAATTAAGAAGCCAAAGCCTACTTAGAAAAACCTGAATAAAGAGATAGTACAGATCTTTGACAGTATTACTATAAAGATTAGATCTAGAAACCAATACCAATATGAAAAGAATCAGATAAGCAAGAATCTTGGATAAGAAGTACTACTAATTAGATAACTAGAAGTCTCAAACCAAAAGAAAAAGATCTTGAAAGACAGATCCTGAAATACCAGAAACAGATCATAGTTCTTCTAGATTATCTAGATTGAGAGTTTGAGATCAGAAGCAAAGGTATACTATAAATACTAAAAATATATTATGAAGTTGATGCTAAGGTCTGAGTGAACTTTGCAAGAGTAAGTTCTGTTAATAAAAGACTAAATATAGGTAGTTAATTAGTAAAGAGGCCTTCTGAAGCCCTACAGTCAAATAATATATTCTAAAATATGTAATAGCTTGATGAATGTATAGACAAAGAGATTAAGATTGAATTAGATAGCACTTTAGTATATGAGAACTTGTATACTATTTGTTAGTATAAGTATAGAAATCAGAGTATTTAAATAGATAATCTTCTAGTAGATTGCAGATATGGCAACTAGTGCAGAATCTGCTATGCAGGCAAACTACTTAAAATAGACAACCAAAAGTTGTATGTATAACT